CATGAAAAAGGGGAAAGAAAATTATGTGTATAAGCTTGTCAAGTCTCTGTATGGCTTGAAACAATCCTCAAGGAGGTGGTTCATAAAATTTCATCAAACCTTAGTTAAAAAAGGCTTCAAATCCAATGAAGAGGATAATTACATATATTCTAAGGTGAGTGGGAATGACATTACTTTCTTAACCATGTATGTGGATGATATTCTCTTTGCTAGTAGTTCCCCAAACTTAATAAGGGAAACAAAGTGCTTGTTATCAGAAAGGTTTGATATGAAAGACTTGGGAGAAGTATATTTTGTGTTAGGAATCAAGATAATAAGAGCTAGAGCAGCTCATATTTTTCCATTGTCTCAAGCTACTTATTGTAAGAAAATTCTCAAGAAGTTTAGCATGAGTGAATGCACCATTAACACACCCGCGGAAAAAACAATCAAGTTAAACCTAAGTATGTGACTGAAGAATGATGATGAAAGAAAAGAAATAGAAAGTATACCATATAGAAGTATCGTAGGCTCCCTTATGTACATGACTATGACAACTCGGTTTTGTTTACAATTAAAGTTCTTGAATTACGGTAATGAGTAAGCCGACTCATACTATGTATATGGGGGGGGCCACTTAAATCTATCTTAAAAATATTTTTTTAACAAAATTTTAAGGGATTCATTATCGCGATTCCAAATAATATATCTTCTAACTCCCTGGATCCATTTAACCCTTTTGACCATAGGCTCTTGGCCCAAGCAAAACTTGAAAATGACACCTCCATCTATTTCTTTCCCTTCCATCTAAACCTTTATCTCTTTATAATATTTGTCTCTCTCTCATTTCAAAACCTCTCGGAAGAGATGTTTAGGGAGAAGGACAAGAAATAAATAGAGGTGTCATTGTAAATATTGTTTAGGCCACCAATGTGTGGCGGAGAGAGAAAAGTTTTTATGAGAGAGAGATTTAGACAGAATGAAAAGAAATAGATACAAGTGCCAATTTAGATTTTATTTGGGCCAAGAATGTGCAGTCAAAGAGGTTAGCCAATTCCAGGGGATTAGACGATGTATTATTTGGAATCCCTATGTGGCTAGAAAGTTTTAAAACCGTCGGGTCTCTTGGGAAATGGTACACTAAAATAAGATGTTTAGATATTTTCCTTTTAAAATTTTAAGAAAGTGAGAGAGAGAGAGAGAGAGAGAGATTTAATATCTTGTGAAAGTGAGAGAGAGAGAGAGAGTGAAAGAGAGAGAGATTTAATATCTTGTGAAAGAGAGAAGATTTAAATTATCAAAGAGATAAACTAAAATTTGCTAAATTACAGATTATTATTACAATTTTTGTGAGTTGCCCCTATATCTTTATAGATTTAGAGGCTAATATATTGTGAGAGTGAGAAGACCTAAATCATTAGGGAGAGATGCTAAAATTTGCTAAATTGTGGATTATTATTACAATTACATAAAATTTTAACACAATGCAAATTTGAAATTTTCTTTTATAGATTTTAAAATTGGTTATACTTTTAATCATAAATTCTTTTTAACGAAGAAATACCCGGGTATAGATAAATCTTTAGTTTTATGGATTTTCTTGGCTCTCTATTTTCAAGAAAAAGAAGTCACTTTTTGCTTTTTTATTTTTAGGAATGGGGATCCAGAGTTCAATTCCTACCACCAGTTTACCAAAAACAAAATTCAAAACATTTTCAAGATAAATGACTTTTTCTTCCTTTGTATTAGTTTTCTTCGTCTTGATTTTCTTCTTCTTTTTTGAGATTTTTTCTTCTTTTTTCCTCTCTAAATGATCTCAAATTTCATTTAACCCAAAAATTTGGCCGTAATCTCTATCTGTAACTTATTATACAATCGCCCATATAATGGGTGTGGTTTACATAAGGTTACAACCAGTGTTTAAAAAAACGTCGAGTCGAACCGTACTCGCTCGGTTCGACTCAGGAATCGACACAGTCCGTGTCGGTTTTGGTATTTACACGGAATCGCCCGATTCCAGAGCGAACCGGGCGATTTTGTATAGTGAATCGCTGATTCACTATACCAAATCGGCGAGTCTCGTGAAGAACACGGGCTGCACAGTGTTCTCACGGGTTTCTTCAAATTTTGTCACTTTTTTATCATTTTTCTTCTTTTTTTTTGCCATGTGATCGAATATTTAGCCTTTATGCAGCTTTTTTCAGCCTTTTCATGCATTAAATGGTGGAAAAATTTCAATTTTTTGGATCATGAAAGTTGCGGGTTTTAGGGTTTCCGCTTTTCGTTTTGTTTTGTGCTAAATAGGGCATGAATCTGTGAAAAGTTGATGCATATTAATCGTAGATGTGTTCATTAGAAATTTCTGTTACGAATTTGTGATTATCTTTAAGAAAACCAGATTAATTTGGAGATTGAAGCCACGGGTTCACGAAACCAGGTAAGAACTCTGGGTTTTTTTTTTTCTGCCATTTGATCAATTGCAGTCCATATTTTGAAAATAATCAGTTAAATTTGTAAGGTTTTAAATCTTTATCGTGTCCTTTATCATTTACCATATTCAATTTTATTTAATTTATTCAATTACAGCTTGAGTTTTTAGAAGAACACAGTGATGTCTGTGAAAAAAAAAATTATGCTTTTTTTTTTTTTTTTTCAGCCTTTCGATCTATTGTTTACGATATATTACAAATAATGTGTTAGATTTCTAGGGTTTTGAATCATTGTAGTCTTGTTTATAATCAGATGTATTCAATTTGATCTTATTTATTCAATTTGAGCTTCATTTTTTAGATTCAAAGACAGTTGTCTGTGAAGAAATGCTTTTTTTTTTTTGCTCAATTTAATTGATTTGATTTGATTTATTGATGATAATGTGTTCATAATTTAGGGTTTTGATTCCTTATAGTGTTGTTTATCAAAACATATTCTCAATTGGATGTAATTTATTCATTTGGAAGTGGAGTTTTGAGTTGAAATGGCTGATGTAAGGTGGCTCTGTGAAGAACAGAATAGTTTTTTTTTTTTTTTTTTTTAATTCCATGATCTAATTTTTTGAAAATTTGTGATTTTCAGAAAAGATGTGAAAATCGTGACAAGGTTTTGATTATCACGAGGTATTAAACCATATTTTTAAAGCACTACTTATAACCATTCCCTCGCAAAATTTTCCTAGAAGGATATCCGAAATTTTGGGGTCTATATAAGTATTGCTAGATTATTATTTTCAAGAAAAATTATTTTTGAACATTTAGAACTATGTGTCAAAAAATTGGACGGTTCTTGTTAAATATTCGAACATCATTTTATTTGGACATATAGAGAGCGCGATTGTTTTTTTCTCCCCTTTGAGGTTCGTTTCTATGTTCTAGAGATTATATATCTCCAATGGGTAATAGAAGAGGAGGAGCCAGTGTTGCACAATAAAGCATTCCTTGAGGCTATCGGTGAGGAAGATCTTGAAGAAGGTGATGAGCTGTATGAAAGAGGAAGCAGCCAGCCAACGTATCCACAATTCGTCAGAGATGTCCGTGATATTGCACTTAATGAGGGAGAGTGGGAAGCGGGTCTATCGAAAAATGAGAGAGATGATGATTATGAGGTCACCCTATCTCAGCCATATTATTCACATATCGAGTCCCATCAGCAACAGGGTAGGGATGAGCACGACAGTGTAGGTGAGCATGAATGATGGACAAGCTTCGGGGATTTTGGATTGGGAACACAACAGAACACTACACTCAGGGATTTGGGTATAGTCAGACACTTGCTAATATCGATGATTCGTTTTTAGATCGAATCAATGAATTGTCAAACGAATTCAATCAATGGCACCAGCGTGACCAAGAAGAAAAACGACGTCGTCTGTCATTTTATTTTTAGATCGTATATTACTAATTGTATGGTTTATTGTAGTCCATGTACTTTGATATACTTATTCCACGATAATTCTATGTTTATCCTTTTGTGTGATGTAAATTAAATGGTAAATAGTAGTTCATGCAGGGAAAGAACATATTAATATTGGCATATTCATGCAAAGAAATGAAAATTCTTAATGGAGTACCCTCATTTCTTATTGAATTCCTAAAAATCAATATTTATAATGAATTTTAATAAATTTTTCGGATTTTTTTGAAGCTTTAATCTGACCGATTCAGTCGATTTCCTATCCGAATCGCCGATTTGCCGATTCGGATCGGTTTTTGAGGTGCCCGATCCAGGTCACCGATCCACTTTTTAAACCATTGGTTACAACTTTAAACAATCAAATTAAGGCGCACCTCCAAATCTTTTGTCATATGTGTAATTTTTGTGTCAAACATTCTTAGAATGGCCCGAGAACCTATTTTCATCTCTGACTATTGAATTTTAGACCCCAAAAATGGTTCAAATCAAACACATAAAAATCTTGATAATGGACGGTAATGTGTTGCAAGATATGCTATTTTGCATACTCAAAATCATTTTTTCTTTGCATATTTATACATCTTGCTGTCTCGAAGATCAATTCGAGGGTTTTCCAACATCAACACAGTCTTTTATGGTGGATTTTTGAAGTATACCTTAATCCACATTTTAAAGGTTCCAACTTTATATAAACTTTTTCCCCATAGGTATGACACATTTGGGAGGTCATAAAACAGAATAAGTTTACGTAGATCAAATCAATTAACCAAGAGCTCGTTTGGTAGGACGACTAACCATGATTAAATGTGGTTTTTCTTTTCTTTTCTTTATTTTGTGGATAATAATAGTGACATCACACTTTGGATATATGTTTGAGCGCATATAGAAAGCTTCCGCGTGAGCATATTGTATAACAACTCCCTCAAGCAAAAGAGTAACTTGGGAGGTCTTTGTGATCCAAAATTTTGGAATCCATCTAGCTATTATCAATTGTTACTATCAAGAAGAAGAACAAAATTGGATTTTAGAGAATTACATGATCTTGTTCTCGGAAATGAAATTATTAAAAGTAAAAAGTGAGGCAACCAAAGGAAAAAAAAAAAAAAGTATATGTTTCATGAAAGCATTATAGACCTTCTGCAATATGGGCAGTAGTTAGCTTTGTCAAGCCACTTGTCAACGCATGCACCATGGAAGATATGGAGACAGATATGCAACTTCTTGACGACCTCTTCCTTCATGAAACCCTCCAAGCAGATTATGCAGCTGCATTTCTTCGAAAAAAACGGTGAAGACAATGTATCACTTCCAATCTTTGATGTCGGGATGTTATTGATAACCTCCGGTGCGAGTCCCCATTTCGTATTCATCTCTCCCTCGTCATCACTCATTTCTTCTTGGTCCTCTTCAACATCATTGATTTCTTTCCAGATCATGTATGCATAGAGGGGAACTGAGGCGAACTCAATGATCCAAAGAGTTATACCATGCCTGCTATAGGGCAAGGTGCATTCAAGGAGCTCAAGAATTTTAGCACGTGCGGTAATAACCACAGCCAATCCAATGTTTCCGAGAATTATAACACGTCCCTCCTCTAGGGGTTGTCGGTCCTCCTCCTCATCACTCATTTCTTCGTCATCCGCATCATCAATCATTTCTTTCTAGATTATGTATGCATAGAGGAGGACCAAGGCGAATTCTAGGAGTCTGAGAACTATACCATATCTGCTAATTGACAAGGATAATTCAAATATCCCAAGAATTATACATGTCCGTTGATGGCGGAGGCGAATTCAAGGATTCAGAGAATTATTACATGTTTGGCGGCGAATGCTTTCTTTTAAAATCTGATTCATGGGGACCATTGCTAAATTTTCTATGGAGGAACTAAACAAATAAGATTTTTTCTTTAGAACCGAACAACTCCACAACTCTCAGTGGTTTTTCTTTTTCTTCTTTTTTTGGGGGGTAATTCAGCATCATGATTTTCTTTTCTTGTCTATTTAGGTTCGGTCTGCATTAATAGCAAATCTTGAAATAACTAACAAGAGCTTTATTATATATGTCTTAAAAATCTTGAGATATTATTAAGTGTATTTTTTTCAGATAGTTCTAATGTTTATCTACTTATGCTTATGTTGAGGAATAGGATTGCATAAAATTTGCAAAATGAAATAAAAAATACTATCTTGGTGTGGGAAGATAGATATTATTTTGTAGTAAAAATTCCAGTCATGTTATTTTTCAAGAAAGAGGATTATTATGTAGGTAGTTCAAGAAAAAAGATTATCATGTAGAGAGAGATTCTTTTGTAGTAAAAGAATATCTTATAACAGCGCCAAAGAATTCAATGAAATGATTTTTTGGAAAAATATCAAACAAAGATTTGAAACCTCTTATAATAGCGCCAAAGAGGTCAGAAATTACAAATTAAACTTAAATACTTTTAATTTTTATATTAATAAAGAATGCCCTCAAAAAATTGAAAAAATATCAAATTGCCCTTGTTTTTTTTCTCCATTATTTATTTAACCTACTCGGCACTCATATTACCGTTACTTTGTAATATAAAAACTTTTTGAATAAGAGTATATTTTGTCCTTATGAGAGTTAGAACAACTATTTATGTAAGAAACTAGTAGCATTCTATTCGCAATAGGTTATCTTCTTTTTGCTAACTCACTGTGAAGCCAAAAAATAACAGAGAACAAATGAGCCTTACTCCAAAGATGAATCCCATAAAATAGTGCTAGTTCATCAACCAAAAAGATCCCAAAATTGGCATGATGCTCTCAATGCAATCCCGGGTTCCCAAGAACTCATCCTCAGTCATAAACAAGAAGTTATCGAACGTGTTAGGGATCTATCTGAGGTCGTCATCATATTTTCTCTCCCTCTCAATTTGATCTTTTTTGCTTCGGGACCTTGATTCAGAGCCCTGCAATCTTGACCAGCCTTCCCTTGAGCCTTCATAATTATCAACACCACTCATTTCTCCATGTTGGTTCTCTTCTTTTACTGTAAAACTTTTGTATTACTCGTTATCACTTCCAAGTTTGGGATGTATTGGGTTTATGGGAGCTTTTTTTTACTTTTCTTTATGCAGTTTCAATTTGGTTTACACAAAGATAATAACTCTCTCAAAACTTTGACATTTTTGTAGAATGGAAGAGGAGTGAGAGTGAGAGTCTCATTAAAATGTTTAGGTTTAATAGTATGCTATGACGATCGATATTATAACAGGCAGAAATACAATGATGGAACAGTCTAAAACAACTTATTCAAAATCTATTTAAAAGCATAACTCATGATCAGTTAACTATAAGAAGGACTCAAATCTTGATTTCAAGTGTGATTTCAAGTGTGATTTCAAGTTATTCAAAATCTATTTAAAAGCCATAATAATGTTGGTGGGACAATTAACCATGATTAGATTTTATTTATTTTTTTCTTTTTTTTTTTTTAGGTGGGGTGGGGGGGAGAGAGATAATAATAGTGACGGCACACTTTGGATATATGTGATGCAGCCATGCCCCTTCGTGATTGGGTCAAAGAAGGGTCGCAGAACGCAAGAGGGAAAGAAAGGCCAATGACGTAACAAGGGGAAATTAATAGGTTTATTTATTATGATTATTTTATTTATTCTATTGTTTAGGGAGTGCGTAGGGATAATTAACAGGGCGACTTTAGAATTTATATCGTGTTGATCTTGTATCGATTGGGTTAGTTTGAGGGATATAATTAGGATAAGGGTAAATTTAGAAGAGAGTTTATCATTATCAATAATAACCAACTTGGGAGGTCTTTTTGGGTAAAACATGAGAAAGAAAACATGGCTATCTAGAAGCCCATGAATATGAGAGAGAGAAAATAGGGATAGGTGTAAAGAGAAGCTTTTTATTAGTTATATTATTTTAGTCTATTTAAAGGGACATCTCTTTCATTGTAAAGCAGTCTATGAAATAAATAAAAATTGGTCTCTTGAAAGAGATTGTTTTGGGGGTGAATTCATTTGCAGACCTTTGAGAGAGGGTATTTTTCTCTTAACCTTCCTTCTTTTTATTGTCATTTTTCTCTTGAAAGCCATAGCTAAGTGGCCGGTGCAAAAGTCACTCATTGAGGTGCGTTATTTTCATGGCCCATCAACTTTTTATCGTCGATTTATAAAAAATTTCAGCACTAAATAGTACCAATGACTGATTGTATGAGGGCTGGAAAGTTTTCATGGAGTCCCGCTGATGAAAAGAGCTTCACTCTAATTAAATAAAAGATGATGCAAGCATCAGTACTTGCCTTACCAAATTTTTCTTAGGTGTTTGAGATTGAAATTGATGCATCAAATGTTGGCATATAGGCAGTTCTAAGTCAAGAGGGACGACCATTGGCCTTCTTTAGTGAGAAATTGAATGATACACGTAAGAAGTATTCGGTTTATAACCTCGAGTTTTATACAATGGTGCAAGTCTTACGCTACTGGAGGTACTACCTTATTAATAGAGAGTTTGTTGTATACTCAGATCATGAAGCACTCCGGTATTTGAGTTCTCAGAAAAAATTGAATGCGCTACATGCTAAATGGATGGCCTTCCTTCAAGAATACATCTTCCTATTAAAGCACAAGGCTGGAACCCAAAATAAGATAGTTGATGCTTTAAGTAGAAGGGCAGTGTTGCTTAGAACTTTATCTATGGAAGTGTTAGGGTTTGAAGTGATCGAAGATCAATATAAAGTTGATCCAATTTTCAGCAAGGTCCTTGAAAGGTGTGTTGATGGGCGAGACCCTATGGGTGAGTATATCACGCATGATGGTTGTTTATTTAAAGATGTGCAGTTATGTATACTTGATTGCTCCCTAAGGGAGAAGATAATCATGGAGCTTCATGGTGGGGGCTCGGGTGGACACTTTGAGAAGGACAAAACTATGGCTATGGTTGGATAAAAATATTTTTGGCCACATATACGACGAGATGTTGATCGATTTGTGACCCGATGTCGAACTTGCCAAGTATCTAATGGTCACACACAAAATACAGGTCTTTATACTCCTCTTCCTATTCCAGATGCCCCATGGGTTGATATTTCTATGAACTTTGTACTTGGACTTCCACGTACCACGTGAGGTATGGACTCTATTTTTGTTGTTGTTGATAGATATTCCAAAATGGCACATTTTATTTCTTGTAGAAGAACTATGGATGCTAAACATATCGCGAATCTCTTTTTCAAAGATATTGTAAGGCTACATGGTGTTCCTAACTTTATTACATCTGATTGGGATACAAAATTTTTAAGTCATTTTCTGCGTACTTTATGGAAGTGTATGGGAACCAAACTTCAATTTTCTAGTGCCTATCATCTTCAAATAGATGGGCAGACCGAAGTAGTGAATATGAGCCTTGGTAACCTCTTGAGGAGTATTGTTGGTGATAACATATCTCAGTGGGACATCGCTTTGCCTTAGGCTGAGTTTTCTTAGAACAGTTCAATAAATCGATCTACAGGAAAATCACCATTTGAGATTGTTAATGGGCAGATGTCTAATCATGTGTTGGACCTAGTGCCATTACCCATATCAGGTAAGATAAGTGATTGTCAATGCTTTTGTTGAGCATATTCGAGATTTGCAAGCCCAAATCAAAAAGAAAATTGAGGACAGCAATGCAAAGTATCAAAAAGCGTTAAATGAGCATAGAAGAAAGAAGATTTTCAAGGAGGGTGACTTAGTAATGGTGTATTTGCGAAATGAAAGGTCTCCGTTGGGAACCTATAATAAACTCAAGTCCAAGAAAGTGGGTCCTTGCCGCATCTTGAAGTAATATGGGAACAATGCATATAAGGTAGAATTACCAAAGGAATTATATATCTCCTCGATATTTAATGTTGCTGACTTATTTGAGTTTCATAGAGACCATCTAGAAGTTGCAGAAGATGTAGTTGATATGATTAAGAAATTATGAAGGAAGAAAGAGGATGAAATTGAGCAAGTTTTGAAGACCGAAAGCTTTCAAACTCGAAAGAGTTCCTATCGCCAATTTCTAGTCAAATGGAAGGGCAGGTCATACTCTGATAGCACTCAAATTTCTGAGCCAGAGTTCAAAAGAGTGGATTCAGACTTATACCGCATATATACTGAAGCCAACTCACCAGAATCGAGTTCCTTTCAACTGGAGGGGAATGATGCAGTCATGCCCCTTCGTGATTGGGCCAAAGAATGGTCGCAGAACCTAAAAGGGAAAAAAAAGGGCAATGACGTAATAAGAAAAAATTATTAGGGTTATTTATTAGGATTATTTTAATTATTTTTTTGTTTAGGAAGTGCGCAGGGATAATTAGCAGGTGGACTTTAGAGTTTATATTGTGTTGATCTTGTATCAATTGGGTTAGTTTGAGGGATATAATTATGATAAGGGGCAATTTAGAAGAGAGTTTATCTTTATCAACAATAACCAACTTGGTAGGTTTTTTTGGGGTAAAACATGAGAGGGCAAACGTGGCTATCTAGAAGCTCATCAATATGAGAGAGAGAGAAAATAGGGATAGGTGTAGAGAAAAGCTTTTTATTAGTTACCTTATTTTAGTCTATTTAAAAGGACATCTCCTTTCATTGTAAAGTAGTCTATGAATTGAATAAAAATTAGTTTCTTGAAAGAGATTGTGCAAGGGGTGGATTCCCTTGCAGACCTTTGAGAGAGGGTATTTTCTCTTAACCTTCTTCTTTTTATTGTCAATTTTCTGGTTTTATTCTCTCCATGCATCAACATGTTTGAGCGCATATAGCAAGTTTCCATAGGAGCATACTGTACAACAACTTCCTCGGGCAAAACAATAACATGAAAGGATTTATGTGATCCAAAATTTTGGAATCCATCAATCTTCATCAAGTGTTTATTTTTAGAAAAAAAAATTTATTTTAAGTTCTTGAGCACCATAATGAAAAAAGAAAGAAATTTACATGACCTTGTTCTCTGAAGTAGAATTTTTACTCGAAAAGAGTTGCAAACAAAAAAAAGAAAAATCAGTTCTTGAATAACAAAAAGAAAAAAAAAAAAAAGGAGTTTACATTATAATCAAAAGAAAAGAGAAAATAAATATAAACAAAAGAGGAGTTTACATTACAACTAAAAGAAAGAGATTACATGTTTCATGGTAGCATTATAGACCTTCTGCAATACGGGCAGAAGTTAGCTTAGCTAAGCCACTTGTCGATGCAGGCACCAAGGAAGATATGGCTGCAGGGATACCACACCTTGACAACCTCTCCCTTCATGGAAGTCTTCCAGCAGATTACACAAGCGCCGCTCTTCGAGAATACAGTGAAGGCAATGTGTCACTTCTAATCTTTGATGTTGGGATGCTATTGATAAACTATAGTGGAAGTGGCCGGTTCGTATTTGTCTCCTCTTCATCATTAAAAAATTCTTCCTCATTAGAGTATTCTCCGTCCTCTTCATCATCAAAATATTCTTCATCTTCCTCATTAGAGTATTCTTCGTCCTCTTCATCATCAAAAAATTCTTCTTCTTCCTCATTAGAGTGTTCTTCGTCCTCTTCATCCTCATCTTCATCACACATTTCTTTCCTAATGTTTGCATACATGAAGAACAAGATGAGGAACTAGACAAATTGAAAGATTCCTAGAAGTATACAAAGTCTACCAATGGCAAAGGCAAATTCAACTATCAGAATCTCGAGAATTATACTACGCTCACCATGTTTGCCAATAGCCAAGGCGAATTCAACAAGCACGAGAGTGATAACACATAGGCCGATGGCATACAATGCTTCTTTCAAAATCTGATTCCAAGGCACCATTGCTGAAATTTGCTCAAGGAGTAATGCTCCTTTCATAATTTGATTCCAATGAACCATTGCTAAAAATTTGCTCATGGAGTAACCAAAACTCCTCTAATTTATGTGCTAATAGTACCTTTGAATATATCGGAATAACTAAATTAGTTTTTTAAATAAATTCCTTATTCTATTGGACTCCTCCAATTTATGTGCTAATAAATAATAACATACATCTGTGTATGTATGATTAAGAGACATTCCTATCCAAGTAGATAAGGTTTGGTGTATAATATCTATGATTAAAATATTTTGCGTACTTGTGGGACTAAAATAAATCTCAATCTTCTTGATTTTCTTTTTTGTTTCATTATAATCTTCTGATTTTTTTATATTTCGTGACTTGATTTTTTTAGCTCTTCCTTTTCCAAGAAAAAACGCCCTTTTTTTATTTTTTTCGATTTAGAAATTAAAATAATAAGCTCTTAAGTGTTACATGAAATCTTGCCAATTCAAAAAAATGCATGTCGATTCTCTTTTCTTATACGTGTAGGTTTGGTCCAATTTAATGACAAATCTTCAAACTAACTTTGTCAGAAAAATGACAAATCTTGAACTAACTAGAGCTTTAGTATAGTCTCTATACTAAAAAGAAGAAGACTATTTTCTTGGGGGAGATAAAGTGAGAGAGAGAACCGATGCTATAAATTTTATACTCCAAAAATGGTTTAAATCAAACAAATCTATAAATATATGAAAATCTTGAAATGGACAGTCCAAATAATATGTTGTAAGACTTGCTATTTTAAAATTTTCAAATTTCTTTTTTTTTTCCCTGTCTACACATGATCAACTAGATGTTTTTCAACATCAAAACAACTTTTTCAAAAAAATTTAGAGTTACACCTTTCTTTTACATTTTAATGTGTCAACCTTATATAAACTTTTTTCCTTTAGAACTTCGCAAACAATTCATTGTCAACAAAAATCTGAAACGGTGCTTTAAAATATACTGTTGGAAACTATACAAGTACTTTAGTAGGTATATCGACTCATTTTCAGATGGATTTTAAGATTTTTGGGCATCAAAAATGGACTTCAAATCTAGATGTTTTGGCCACTTGATAATATGAAAATTGACCATCCAGAAAATGCGACTTCAAATCTAGATGTTTGGGGCGCTTGATAATTTTGAAAATCTAAAAAATGCATTGCAATATGCACTATTTTCAAGACTTGAAATCCATTTTTTCTTATATTCATACATCTTGAAAATCTTCCCTTTGACATGATGAAGACTAAAAATGAGTCGATATACCATTGCTGACTATTGTTAACATTGAATTTGTGAAGCTGTAATTGAAGAAAGTTTGTATAAGGTTGACACTTAAAATGTAAAATGGAGGTGCAACTCTAAAATTCTTCGAAAAATATTGTTTTGATATTGAAAAACATCTATTTCATCATCTCAACATCAAGATGTGTAGATATGGAGAAAAAAAAGAGAAATTTTAAGTCCTTAAAATAACAAATCTTACAACATATTATCTGGACTGTCCATTTCAAAATTTTCATATATTTACATATGTGCTTGATTTAAACCATTTTTGGAGTATAAAAGTTATAGCATCGGTTCTCTCTCTCTCAAAATAAAGTAGTCTTCTTCATTTTATGACCGAGGTTTTTATAGCAAAAGAATCTCTCTCAACACTATATGATAATCTTCTTTCTTGAAAAATAACGTGAGTGGCTTTTATACTATAAAATAATCTCTCTTTTCCTACTTCATAATAATCCCTTTTTTTGAATGATTACGCGGATCTATGTACTCAAACATAAGAAATGTAGATAAACAATATAATAATAAAATAAAATAAAAATATTGTAATATCTCAGAAATTTTAAACGATATACTTTAGTTACTTATTTCAAGGTTTGTCATTTTCTTGATAAAGTTATTTTATTAAACCATACCAAACCTACATGTATAAGAAAAGAGAATCGAGATGCATTTTTTGAATTGGCAAGATTTTATATAACAGTTAAGAGCTTGTTGTTCTAATTTCTCAATCGAAAACAATAAAAAAATGGCTTTTTTCTTGAAAAAGGAATAGCTAAAAAAATCAAGTCAAGAAATATAAAAAATCAAGA